ATCAAAAGATGATTAATTTGATATATTATATATGTAAAACCGATAAGAAATACAAAAGTTATCAATTTTTAAAATACATTTATAATTCAATAGCTTGTTGAAGGAAGCAAACCAAAATTTAGAGATATATTAGTCACTTAGTGTTTCACTATGTAAAATTACAAATAATTAAAGGGTTATATTAGTAAAAGTGATATTAAAATACCTAAGTTAGCTAAATAATATTTATGGAATACCCGAACCTAGATTATTAATTATTAATATATCAATATTATTTGTCCAAACCTAATTACGAAGCATGATTCTTCGCCAAATAGGATTCCAAAGTACCAGAAGCAGCCACGTAGACTCAGCGCATTCAGGAATTATACATAGGGAGGATATATACTTATACATGAATAATATCTATTATTGTTTATTATATGTGACTACAATGTACTATTGGATATTATATATTTTGGGTTAGGGGGAATATGACACTAGTACCTGGGCCTGCTCTCTTAATAAAATAGTAGGCCTCGTGGTGGCCTGGGTCAACATTAGTGCGGGCCCAATGGTCATCGCCCTTCCTCTCATCCCTTTTTTCGGTTTTATTCTCCATTTAAATTTGGGTCTATTAATAATAATAAATAAAAGAGTGATAATATGTGGGGAAATTGTCAAATCATAAAAATGTTTCTCAGAAAAAAAAAAATATATATATATATTATTACAAATCTTCTTGTATGCAACATTATCAGTTTGATTACTGGGCAACTCGTCGTCCCACAAACTGATATATTCAACTCATTTCTATTACTTACACACGAAACAACAACATATATATAAGCGGGTTCTTCTTTAACATCATGTATACAAAACTATAAGTAAAAGCTGATACCGTGGAACTTAAATAGAAACCTAAGATCGGAATGATTCATTTATATGATAATTTACATTGCAGTTCGACAAATGTTATTAGTTTACCATTTTAATATTGATTATAGCTAAATATATTTACTAATATTTTTATATTTTTTTATCATATAAAAGAACATTAAATATGTATGTTTAAAATATTAAAAAAAAAATACATAAAATATTAAATGCATATAAACAAACACACTCTTAATGTCTAGTCCAATCAATTTGTCAACCAAGTCTATTAAGCAGCATCTAGCCCAGTTATTGTCTGGGCTCCATTTTCATGGTCACCTAATTTGGGCTCGTCATAAATTGAAAGCGAAATCCTAGTTGCTGTTTTTGGCAGTTGATCTTGCTCCTCACTAATTTCTTCTTCTTTTTTGTCGTTTTTCTTGCCCCATATTACTAAGTACAACCCAATGACTATAACAGTCACGCCACTTACCCTGCAAAACATGAAATATTTTAGCAAATTATATATATATTTTTTTTCCGAAACGATAGGGGTTTAGCAAATTATATGATAAAAAAATGCGCGTTTTGATATAAAAACACAATTTTGTCACGAGCACAGGATAAATTTGGATCGGATGGAGTGGCTTACTTTCCAATGGTCATTTGCTCGGCGAAAATGAAAGAACTCAAAAATGCGACGATAACCATGCTCAGAGGACTAAATGCAGTCACAAACACGGGCCCTTTTTCCTTCATTATCACCATCGACATGTGATAAGTTAATCCAGACACTATAACTCCCTACACCAGAACAAATATATATACATATAGTAAGAAAAGTTGTTTGTGTAGACAAAGGGAAAAAAAAAAAAAAAGTTTCTAATGAAATTATCTTACCCCATAGACATAAGCCAGAAGCTTGTCATCCAATCCGAGGGCCCACACTGAAATATTACCTCTTTCGACCGAGAATGTGAGCATAGTTCCAAGGAAGGCTCCAAGAGAATACACCATAGACGTAAGTGAAAGTCCTGCCGGGTACGACTTCAAAGTAATTGCCTGAAGAGTGTAGAAGGCGGAATAACCAATACAACCAACGGCGATCATGAGAGCTCCTTTAACGGGATTTTCCTTATCGTTAGGATTTGCAGAAGCTTGAGTATCATGGGATTTGTTTGTCCATGGCAATCCAATAATAAGTCCGCTAATTAAAGTCATAATCATGGCTCCACCTACAGTGACCAAAGTTCCCATAATCTTAGCATGACTGTGCAGACTCTTGAAGTTCACCTTCTCGATTCTGCAAACCAAAAACGTAAAAACGAAACAGAAATTCAAGAACATGCTAATGAATTGAGGCTATAAATTTGTGATTTGTGGTAGATGTTATTGCATGATCCCCTGTTGGTATTAAACAACGATGGATGGATTAATTAACGTAAGACATGCATTTTCGAATTATTTGTTTTGAATCGAATTGGAACAAAAATATTTCATCCCAAATATAATGCACATACAGATATAGTAGAAATTAAGTAGGACATAACAAAAACTATATACAGACAGACATGAAAATATTTTCTAAATACTTATATTAAATGTGTACCTGAATATCCAAGCCAATAGAAAAGTTAAAGCAGGAATGAGATTGCAGAGAGCTGCAGCAAAAGTGGCGGACGAATATTTCATCCCGGCATAGAACATGTTCTGACCGATAACTGGACTGTACTCATTACAAAACATGATCAAAACCCGTTAATCTTTCACTTACATTACAATTTACATACACACGACTCTTAAATGCAGGCAAGCCAACACACGGTTTCGAAGCGCTTACTCAAGCAAGCTAAGTAGCAAGATTCTCCAGAATACGCTAAACGTCATTTTTGGCCTGCTATTCCTGTTCAAATCAATAGATTACTTATATTTTCTTTTCATTATCATCCTTAAAATAAAATAATATTGAATTCCTTATTTACACAATGCAATGAGAATAATGGTAATGAGACTCACCTCTCTAAGACGAGGGCAAAAGGGATGAAAAGGGCAGCCGCAATCGCGTTTCTATAGACGGCAAAGGTGTAATTACTGCTGCCTTGATTTAGAGCAGCCTTTGCAACTATATAAAAACCAGCAGTCCCAAATTGCATGAAAATAACTCCCACATAAGGCCTCAATTTCTGCACAATATTTGAGTCAATCACCATACTTGACTATACACGTGATTTTTATTTATTAATTTTTTTTAGGAAATTATAATTTTTGTGTTATTTTAGATGTTTAGCCGAAGAGAATGCAGTTGTAAGTAGTTAGTGAAGAGTTTGAGTTGCATGGATATGGGTACTTGTGGCGCTTTATATACTACAAGTATGGTGGACACAATGTGAAGAATTTTCAAATTTGGGATCGAAAGATAAACATGGAAAAAGCAAGTACGAATGACTTAGAGCATCTCCAATGATCCTTGGATTTCTCGATTTTGTTGCCACGTGGCACAAAAAATTTATGTAACAATAATAATATTAATAATACCTTAAGATAAGATAATTAATAGGTAAGGATGCTTCGATTTTAATTATATTATCCATTTCATTTTATACAATCAGTATAGTGATGAAGTTGAATATTTTATAATGTTCAGTTTACTAATGTTTTTTTTTAATATTATCTAATTTATAATTATAATGTTATATGCACACACGTAACTTATAATAATAATTTAAATATTTTTATATGTGCACAAGATATAATAAGTTTATTATAAAAGAAGAATCTCAATCATACGGATATTATACCCACCATTATGTGGTATTATCAGTTCAATCAATAATATCGTTGGCATTATTGGTCTAGCAAATATAATAATGTATATAAATTTTAATATTGACTATAAAAAGAATGAACTAAGTTTCAACTTCTCAATTAGTCATAAAATAAGATTACAAAATAGTTCAAGTTTAACTTTTTAAGTCAATAACTTAATTTTAAGTTCTGCATTATTTAATTATTTTCTTCTTGATCGATAATGTTTTATCTTGTTTTGCCCTATATACAACTCCGTTGCAATTCTTACTTATACAGGACAAAATAACGGTATCCGACATTATTTATGATTACAGTCTCATTATGGACCCATTCTGTTGAAATTTGTAACCGTTAAATGCACATGATAACTAATATAAATGTGTATCTAACAATTACAAGTCCCAACAAAATAGTCCCGTAACGAAACTGTAGTTTCGTTATTTTTACTCATTTCAGATAAAAAGCGATGGAAAAGGCAATAAACAAAACAAAAGGACACCCACAGACGATACAGAGCCTCTAGAACAAAGCAAGTCACCGAGCAAAGACTGAAAAGAACACAAACAATAACAAACATATATATTTCACACACTATGGGCTGCTCTTATTATGGGGTCAATCTTTTTTTTTTCTTTTTTTTTTTTTTC